AGGATTTTCGCTGATTCATGATTAGTTGAACACAGTGAAGAGTGAGAAAATCTATTGACTATTGATTTTCTGAAGTTAAAAACAGAAATAAAAGCTAGAATGCTCTTCCTGGAGACTGGTAGACATTTATTTAAATTGTATGCTTAATGTTCATGCTTGCTCAATGCTTGTTTGCCAATAGGATCTGACATTTGCATTCACTTTATGATGGTACTGGGTAAATAAGAGTTAGAGTTAAGCTTTTTATCCTTGGGTTTCTAATAGCTACTGCTGAAGTGAGCCTTATATGTTAAGATTATCTGAAGATAAGACTGCAGATTATTGACTCAAAGTTCAAAGGAGAGCATTATCTTCAAGGACATAAATCACTGCGCTGTTATCCACCAATTTGTAACAGAACAGCAGAGGAACAACATTTATCTAGACAATCTAGTATCGTGTACCTGCAATTTGAGGTCAGCCTGTATAGGTGCTTAGGTCCTTTGAACTGTTCTGCAGAGATGAGGTTCCACTTTATTATCTTTCCTCTAATTTGAAGTAGCAGGTAATTTTCGTGCCTTTTCTGGAAGCTGCTGTTAACTTCATTTTGTCCATACACAAAGCTTATTACATTCTAACACAACTATGGAGTCATCAGGGATGAATTAGGTAGGTTGTTTAGAGACAGAATTTCATGCTGTTTGTTTCATGTGTTCCTATTTCTCCACAAGTTGACTATGAGCTCTCTGAGTCTAAGGTATATATAATATTATTTTTAAAATCTGTAATAGCAAGGCTAAGTCAGATGCTTAAAGGGACAATTGGGTTAAACAGATGACAGAAGAGGCAAAGAGGAGGACATACATCTTGGTTTAAATCAGCCTACCAACAGATTCTTACCAACCCACTAGCAAAGAAACAACAACAAAAAATCCCATTGGGACTATTTGATCTGTGACCTATCAGTTCATTACTTCTGAATTACAGTACACAGAAAATGACCTTATAAATACTTGGTTTTTTTTGAAATACGCTTTTTTAAAATTTTGTAATACTAACTACACTGCTTTTGAAGAACTATCACAGATGTAATATTTGTAACATGATATAAGATGTATAAGAATGTTCACCTCTGTTAGAGGATTGACCTTTTGAAAAAGTAGATGCACACAGTGATAAAGAGATTAACTTTGGGGAATGGAGAGATGGCTCAGCAGTTAAGAGCACTGGCTGCCTTTAAGTGGACCTGGGTTTGGTTGCCAGCACTAACATGGTGGCTAACAACTGTCTGTAACTCCAGTTCCAGGGGATCTGACACCTTCTTCTGAAATCCACGGGCATTGCACAGCATGGGCACACTTATATATATGCAGGCAATAAACTAATACACATAAAATAAAAATAATAAGCTTTTTTTAAAAAATTAACTTTTAGCATGGAACCAACCTGATACCAGATCTTACTGTTCTGTCCATGGAAAGTCCTTTGGGTCACTCTCCAGGTTAGAAACCAGTGATGGGTGGTGGTACATTGTAGTCAATGGCAAATGTTCTGAGGGCATTCAAAAAAAAAGATAAAACTAAATACTGAGACACAAACCTGTAATCCAGCTACTGAGGTGACTAAAGCAGATAATGGAGAGTTCAAGGCCAGCCTGGCAGCATAACAGGAGCCCATCTGAAACCAAACAAGACTAGACAAAGTAACCAAAAAAAAACAGGAATGGCATAGTGAATTCTTAAGAGTACCTGCCTGCTTTGCAGTTCACTATTTTTTATGTCTTAAATTCTGGAGTAACTTTTCATTCTCCCTCCTTCCACCTTTTTCAAAAAAAATATTTTTACTGGCTCTGTCTGTTTTTTCTTTGAAGCATCCCCAGCTTCATTTCTTCCATTTCATTCCTGTAGATACCATTGTATCAACTTTTCTGTTATTCATAAAGAGACATTAAATCAACCCTTGACTTTTCTATGTCATAGACATATGTCTAGTTCAGACCCTCTAGTCCCTAGATTTTTAAAAAATCTATTCTTTGGACTACAAATGTACTTTCACTAGAAATGAAAACACCCCCCCCACCCTGCCAAACCCCAGCTTTTTTCAGTTGTGTACCTTTGTGCCAACCAAGCTCCTGAGTAAGAAACTTCATATTGTACGCTGTCTTTCTAATCTTGCCTTTCTTTAGTCTCTACAGGGGAAGTCAACTTACTCTCAACAGCCCTTTTCCACTCTCCTCTTTTATGGTGTTTCTTCTAATGGTAATGATTCTCTTGTCTTTATGCCTTATATCATTTCTTCTATCTTTGCCTTTTTTATTGTACTGTTTTAAATTTTTTTACTGCTTGTTCTTTCACCACCAGACTAGGTTAGACGTTTCTTGGAGCATAATGGCTTTCTTTTCTGCTGTGTCTGAGCTAGATGTAATGCCTGATATTATGTTCTTATGTACCAGGCACTCCAGAGATTTTTTTTAACTTGTTGCTTTCTATATTCCCTCATTCATATTTTTGTGATGAAATGATCGCAACATAAATTTCACAATCTTAACCATTTTTAACTGTACAATTTTATGAACTTTCCCCCTCTCTTGCCTCCTTCCCCCTTTGCAGTATCCAGCCATCCCGGTGAGTTCAAAGTAGTGTATCTTTGCGGGTTTGATTTGCCTTTTTTCTAATGACTAGTGATGCTGAGTATCAGTCAATTTCACATGCTAACTGGTTGTTTTTATATCTTCTATGCAGAAATATTTGCTCAAGTTCTTTGCCTATTTTAAAATTGAGTCCTTTTGATCCTGAGTTTTAGGAATCCTTTGTACATTCTAGCTGTCAATTGTTTATGTGTAATTCTACAGTCTGTGGATTACCTTTTTGCTTTTTTCCTGTTTCCTTTGATGTACAAAACTTGAAATTTTAATGAACCCCACCCTATTTTTTCTTTTATTACCTAAGCTTTTGTTCTGTATAAGAATAAGAAGTCAATGCTGGATTCATTGTCATGATATTTCCCTATGCTTTCTTCTCAGTTTTTCAGATTTAGCTCTTAGGGTTGCTTTGATAATTTTGAGTTACATCATAACAGGAACATCCATCTTTACTTCCTTTGCATGTGCATAGCCAGTTATTCCTGATACCATTAGCTGAAAAAACTGTTTTTCATGAAATTTTTCTCCCATTTATATTTGATTGAATAAAGCTCAACATTATCAATGATCATAGTTGTGACTGTAGTAAGTTTGAGTAATCTTTCCTTTTACTCCTTGCCTTAAAAACTTCCTTATGTTTTCTTCTCCACTGAAATCAAAGGAAAAGCTCTACATGTAGAATCACTTTTGTCATCTTTTCTATCTTCTCATTAGATGTTTAGATTTAGTAATCAATTTTCTTTGCTTCTTGAAACTTAGTAAAAGCATTCCAGTATTTTTCTAATATTTTAAATGATATGTCTGAATTGTATGTCTGAATTTCATTTTTAAATCACTTAATCCTTCAAGATTTTAGATTTTCTATAAAATGAGAGGGCTAAACTAAATATCCTGTTATGTGTCTTTTACTGTGAATGATTTCAAGATACTCGTATGTAGCTTTTGCCAGTTCATAAAAACTCAATGGAGAGTAGAAGTTTGATTCAAGTAATACATTAAAATCAATACCCTGAGATATAGGTTATCTTTACAACTTTGTAGTTTTGGTACTTGTTCATATATGAACAGTTTTGACCATCACTGTATCATTCTCTTTCCAAAGGCAAAAACCTAGTTTCTACATGTTACTATAATCTGTAATATTAGTACCTGTCTTCTTTATGGATTAAAGGATGGGCATAAATTAATACAGTAAATTTGCACACAAGAAGAAAGGAACATGTAAAGTTATAAAAAGGAGAGGAGGCATCTTCTCAAAAGTGATAGAATTCTCACATTTAGAAAGGGAGATTTGGGGAGTGCTGTCCCTTTTGATGTCTTTGAGAGGCTCATGATTGAATGCCACATGTGCTTATTTAAAATTGTTCAAAGGCTATTTTTGTCATCTCACCTATTGTGTTAATTGTATAACTGTATAAATTTTCTTATTAAAAAGTAGTTGCCATATGTTCTAATTCATTTTACTTTTAAACAGTTTTGTTACTGCTGTTCGTTTCTTGTCTTTTTATAGGATGTGGAAATAAAAATGCTAGTATGTATTGCGTATATTTGCTTCAATTTGCTTTTGTTTTCTAACCTGGAACTTGGAGCGTCTTCCTGCTTCGTGCTTCAAAAAGTTGAGATTATAAGTGTGAGCCACCATACCTGGCCATTTGTTTTGATTTATTGCTTTTATATTTCTTTTTAAAAAGGAATGTTTTAGTGGTAATATTTTATCAGCTTTCCCAAAAGGGAGGTTAATTCATTACATGCAGTAATTTTCTAAGACTATTAGCAATTACTTCTCTTGATTAGAAAAGGCTGACCAATTTAGGAAAGAGGACATGAGACAGATGCTGTGAGATGAAGGCTTCTCATGGCTTTTGAATTTTGAATTGCCTGAATATATCATCATCACTATTACATTTTTAGTACTTAATCATATCTGATAAATTGAAGTGGTTATATTACCTTTAACTTCATTTGGAATCGTGATTCATATTTAAGAAAAGAAAATCTTGACAAATCATAATAGCAATTTCATTTATCTTTAAGTAATTTGGGGTTACAGTACATAAATCTGGCATGCAATAGCAGAATTTAGGAGTGTATACCTTTGACTGTCAGAATGTCTTTGCTAAAATGGTCAGAAATGCAAAGCATAGGGAAAATAAGGAACGATGGTCTTAGTGAGCTAAGTTCAGGTAGAGGAAATCTAATGGGAGATGATTGCATCAGTAGCAGACAGACTTGCTTCCTGAGCTGCAGTCTCACTGGAAATCTTATATGAGCCGAAATTTATTTTTGAGATTTAGAACCTGATAAAAAAAAGATAAAGAGATTTATTTGATTGTGCTACTGTGGTTCTTACTTTGCCTTTTGGATGTTTCATTTGTACTAGGCTATTTTTATGATTCCCACAAATCCGCCACCAACATTCAGGAAGCCTGAACTTTGGTCTGATGATTTCACCGATTTTGTGAAAAAGTGCTTAGTGAAGAATCCTGAGCAGAGAGCTACTGCCACCCAGCTGTTACAGGTCAGTGCTCACAAAGGAAGAATGTCTTCATACCTTTAGCTTTCAGATAGTGGTGGACCAGAATTGCTGAATCTCATTACTACTTTCTGAAGATTTAAATATGAATTGAACACACATATGCACAGCCAGCTCTATATATTTCTTGGTTTTATTTTCTGTTTTCCATGTTTGTTCTCTCACCTTTTTGCATTTTTTCCCCTTAAAACTTCAAAAAATTTCTCCTGAGAAGTGAGCTCTTGTCTATAGTTTCATTTCTCCTCTTTTCCTTATGTTTCTTGACTCAGCACTTCTCTCTTGACTTTCTGTACACTGTATTATATGTAAAGACAACATCCCTGAACGCCTTGAAAAGGTGATTGCATGCTGTAAATACTAGTCACAAGATTACCTAACTGAAGCGTTTTAGTATCCCTTGTATAAGTAGACTTTGTATCTAGACTACCAAGAGGCTTTTTAAAAAGTCAGCTGTGAAATCTGAAGCAAAAAGAAATAACTTCATTCTTACAATAAAAGTATTCGTGAAACTTTTCTTTTCCCAAAAGAATTGCCTCAGAATGCTCAGTTAAAGATAAGTATGTCTCACATTAACAAATTTGATATTTATTAGATGCTTCTTACTGTTAAGTGACAAAAGAATTCAAACCACAGTCCTTACAAAAAAGTAACTTCCTGAATTGCCATTAAAAAATAAATAAAATAAAATTGATTGAAGGCAGTGGTAAATAGCTTATAAATATAATATTTAGTCTTAATGAAGTTTAGTTAATGATCCATACATAAAAGTAATGGTCCATACATAGTCTCATTCTTCATGGAAGCCAAGATAGTGGTATCTATTTAAAATGAAACTTTATGGATTCTTTGGCTTAGGAATTACATTTTAAGAATTTATTCTATGGGAGAAAATCCTCACCAGCAACACATCTGACAGAGGTTTAACATCCAGAATATATAAGGAACTCAAAAAACAAAGAATCAAGAAAGGAAGTAACCCAATTAAAAGATGGACTAAGGAGCTGAACAGAGAGTTTTCAAAAGAAGAAGATGGCTAAGAATATCTTAAAAGGTGTTCAGCATCATTAGTAATTAGGGAAATGCAAATTAAAACCACTTTAATATTTCATCTTACCCCAGTCAGACTGGCTAAGATCAAGAGAACAAATGACACCAAATGTTGGAGAGGATGTGGGGAGAGGGGAACACTCATCCACTGCTGATGGGATTGCAAAATTGTTCAACCCCTATGGGAAACACTGTGGAGAACTCTTAAAAAACTACAAATGAACCTACCGTTTGACCCAGTTATACCACTCCTTGGCATATACCCAAAGAACTCATCCTATTGCACAGGCACTTGTACATCCATGTTTGTTGCTGCTCTTTTCACAATAGCTAAGAGATGGAAGCAACCTAAGTGCCCCTCAACTGATGAGTGGATAATGAAAATGTGGTTCATTTATATGGTGGGGTTTTACTCAGTAGTAAAGAAAGATGAAATCATGAAATTTGCAGGTAAATGGATGGAAATAGAAACGTTATGCTAAGTGAAGTAACACGGACTCAGAAAAAAAAAAAAAGAAAATGACATATGTTCTCCCTCATATGTGGATCCTAGCACCAAATCCTTATAAGTGAGTATGTATCCAGACATAACTACAGGAACCAGGATAATGAAAAGGAATCAGGGAGGTAAAGGAAAAGAAAGAATCTGAAAGAGAAGAACAGTAGGAAACAGGCATTAATAAGGGAGATATGGATAAAAATGGGGTTATTTTAAGGGGGGGAGGGTTATACAAGTAAATAAGGAGCTCAAGAGAGGTGGGACCATAGGAGAAAGGTATTATTAAGGGAGAAATGGGAAAAATGGGGGCACTTTAAATGGGGAAACTATGGTGGAAGGGTTAGACAGTGCTAGAGATAAATAATGCCTAGCTAGTTAAAAAAAAAAAACAGAAGGAACCATTTTAATCGAACAACCTACTGACAAATTATGCATACAACTAGCTCAAGGAACATAATGTATGTCTAGGCAAGGTTTATCTGAGAACCTTTGGTCTTTGCCCAAGTTTACCTACATAATACATGGTAATTAAAAGTACCAGACTGGTGGAACTAACCTTGGATGTTTAATAGCCATACTTTGAGGCCTATACTAATTTGGTCAGAGGGACTTAAAGGACAGTTTCTGCTCCTTGCCCTCCAAGGTCGACTAAGTCCCAGGGGACTATGAGCGTCTCTCAAAATGTCCTGTAACTGTGGTGAATCACCTGTCCTCTTGATCAAGGAGGCCATAGAGACCCCACCAGATGGACTTGAACCAGTGTCCAGTCTACAAAGAGGAGGGTCACCACAGAGGAAACATTTCCTCTATGCTTCCAAGTGAAGTCATCCATGGTCGAGTAGGACCTTTGACTTATCTTCTCATAGATGGAAGTGGTAAAAGAAATGAGCCAGGGGCTCCTCCCAAGCCCATGTGACCCCAGAGGAACAGATCCTCAAACGACCTTAATAGTAAAAATAAATTGGTTTATCTGGCCAACTGTATGGACTTAAACACCCAAAAGGAAAGTATAACCAAAGATTAAAAGGATCAGTATAATTCTTTAAGAGCCCATGTGTATAGCTAAAGTCTACATAACAAAAAACAATGCTAGACAGGAGATGCCTTCTTTTGAGTTGTTGGCCAGGGTGGCCCAAGAGATTCTCAGACAGTAACCCAGCATAGAACTGGGAAAATGAACAGCAGACCCCAGTCTTATCTAAAGGAATATTGGCAACTGATTGCTGCTAGGTGAGGAAGAGCTGATCTTTTTAAAGCAAGGAACTCTAGATAGGCTGACTAGACTCAGTGGATGACAAGCACTGGGGAATGGCTGGGTGCGCTGACAACACAGTGGACAGTAACAGGGATGACAGAGTATATGGGCTCCAGTAGGGGAGGAGGGGAGGCTATTTGGGTGTATAGATGAATAAGATTGTTTGGGATGTTCTTTATGGAATACACACACACACACACACACACACACACACACACACACGCACACACAAATCAATCATTAAAAAATGAGTTATATTTAAAACAGAAAAAGAATTTATTGTAACTGGACATGGTAGCACATGCCTTAAATCCCAGCACTCTGGAGTTAGAGGTAGGCAGAAGTATGTGATATCAGGACTAGCCTGGTCTACAGAGCTTATGAGTTGCAGGCCTGCTGAGGCTACAGGGAGACTCTCCCATAAACAAACACACACACACACACACACACACACAAAGAATTTATTCTAAAAACTTTAACCATGTGTGAAATTATTTATAAATATGGTCCATCAAGAGGATTTATTAGAAAAATACATCTGTACACATATATGTATATGTATGTATATTAGTGCTTATAAAGGAATAGCTTCAGAAGACTAAGTGGTACACCAACCTCTGGGGAAAGTAATTGCAAGGGTAAGAGGCAGGAGTGGGGATGCAGACTTATTTGAGTATTTTTCTAATTCCAAATTTATCCTATGGGGGGCTTGAGAGATGACTCAGTAGTTAAGAGCACTGACTGCTCTTGCAGAGGACCCGGGTTCGATTCTCAGCACCCACATGGTAGCTACGAACCGTCCTTAAAGCCAGTTCCAAGAGACTGACACCTTCTTCTGACCTCCGCGGCATTGTATGACACATGTGCACTCACATTCATGCAGGCAATACACTCATACACATAGAATAAAAATAATAAAATATTTCCATAAAAGGTTTAAACCAATAAAAATGGTTTAAAATTATTTTATGTATTTTTATTTTATGTGTACGAGTGTTTTGCCTGCCTGTATATAAGTACATCCATGTTGTACAATGCCTGTGGTGGCCAGAAGAGGGTGTCAGATCCCCTGGAACTGGAGTTAGAGAGGATTGTTAGCCCGTCATGTAGGTACTGGGAGCCTAACCAAACAAGTAGAAGAGCAAGAGTAGCCAGAACTCTTAACATCTGAGCCATCTCTCCAGCCCTTTATTTGACATTTATGTACAAGCATTCTTTAAAAAAATTAGTTAATGGTCAAGAAGGTAAATTTGAACTAAGGAGATAGCTCAGCATGTAGGGGCATTTATCGCTAAGCCTGATGACCTAAGTTTGGCCCCTGGGATCACACTGAGGAAGGCAAGAATAAATTTCCACAATTTGTCCTCTGACCTCCACACATGTGGCATGCTCATACCCACACCCATACCCACACATACACACAAAACAAATAAATATTATTTAAAAATTTAAAAATGAGGGCTGGTGAGATGGTTTAGAGGGGAAATATGCCTGCCTTTAAGCCTAACCACCTAAGTTTGATCCCTGGGACCTCCATGGTAGAAGGATAGCACCAACTCCCACAAGTTATCCTCTGACTTCCACATGCATGTGCATACACACACACACACACACACACACACACACACACACGTGCATGCATGCTCACACACACACACAAAATGCAATGAAAAATTTTGAAAATTTTCAGGAAAGAATAAAAATGATAATAAATTTTATGTAAAGTGTATTTTTCTACAGTAAACACTGAAAAACAACTGGTTAAAGCATTTATTTTTAAATGCTGTCAGCCTTCCAAGAGAGTATTAAACAAATAAGGCACAAGCCTCTTGATATCATTATCACAACAAGCATCTAAATGATTCAACCCAAAAGAAAAGAATAGCAGAGACAGATTGGGAAAAAGCATAAAAATTAAAACAAATACCACAAAATGTGATGGTGAAAATAAACGTGTCTGGTGACTGAGTCTGGAATCAGTTCATTTATTTTTAGCTTTTCCTTCTACAATCTTCTGACCTAGTGAAAAAAAAATCCTTTTAAGTTAGAAAAAATGGAAAGCATTTGAAAAATTTCAGTATAATTTCTGCTTTTGTGGAGAGTATGATAGCCCAGAAATATTAAATGAGTCACTGATGATCCCATAGTAAACAAGTGATTTTTCTAGGTAGATTCTATTTGCTG